TCCCCCCCCACCTTCCATGTGCATACCCACTTGCTCACCTCGTCTCCCTTTCTCCCTCTTCCCTCCACGACAACTGAAACAGAATTGAAGACTGTAGGCAAATTCTGCTACCTAAGATCATCAGTCTCAAATGAAATTAAGCTTGAAAAAAGATGTACCCTGGTTGAGTACTGCAGCATTTGGAGAGCTGGGGGAAAAACCCTTCCCTCTCAGTTGCCACATGGCTGTGAATTTATAATGCCTCCATAGCAAGTAGACTTGAATTGTATCAGAAGCAGGAAGGCAGGTTGGATTTATTTCATGTGACATCAGAAACAGTCTTTGGAGCCACTGGCAGCATACTGTCCTCACTGCAACTTTCTAACTCTGTGTCATGGCAGTGTTTAACTGGTGTTGTCTTCATTGGCTAGGGCATGGATTTAAGTCATGAAAGGACATAATTGCTCAGTACTGGTAGACCAGGCCTTACTCATTAAAGAACACCAACCTGAAACATTTAATTTTATTTTCTAAAAAACACACACATGCAATTCTATGCTGCCTAATTCTGAAGTGAGCTGTCATCATTGTGTCTCGTCTGTGTGGAGACAGTTTTGCTGACCTGTGTTGTCCTGGGTCGCCTGCTAAACTTTGAGCTGAGCTAATTTGCAGAGTTCCATTTTGGACACAGGAAGGTCTACTAAACAAACTTTTTTCTTCTCTGTAGTGATTTCCCTATAGCGTGGGGTCACATAACGCAGCTATTGCGTTATAGGAGAACTACCTGTATCTGGTAGTGATCTCGATTTAGACATTCTGCCTGATTTCCCCTCTCCCTCCTATCCCAAAACACAAGATGTTTAGGGTTAGAGCGTTGCAGTAGCCAAGGGCACTCTTTGTGTTTTATTATATCCAAATCCTGGATTTTTTTTTGTTTGAGAAAGGACTTGTGCTTCAAAACCAAAAAAAAGTTCCATTCATGTTCTCAGTTCTATTTTGTACTCCAGACGTATGAATTAGGAGCAGAAGTTGGCTTTTTAGCTCCTTAGACTGCTCTATTAGATGAGATTATGGTTGATTTCTTTGTTTTGAATTCTGTGTTCCCGTCACCTGATAGCTTTTGATTTTCTTATCTTACAAGTATCTATGTGTCACCGCCTTGAAAATGTTCAATGATCCAATTCTGCTGCCTTCTAAGACAGAGGATTCCAAAGTTTCATAACTCAAAATTCTCCTTATCTCTGTTGTAAAAAGGTGACCATTAATTTTCAAATAGTTCCCCAAGTTCTGGACTTCTCCACAGGAGAAAACATCTTTCCCATGATCACCTCGTCAAGACCATTCAGGACCTTGTATACTTCCATTGAAGTTACTCTTTCAAACTTGCTCTTTCAAACTTCAACCTCTCCAACGTATCCTCAAAGACAACTGGCTCGTTCCAGCAATCAATCTATTAAACCTCCTCTGAACCGCCTCCAATGTATTTGCAAGCTTTATGTAAGGAGACCAAAACTACAGTGTTTGAGATGAGGACCCACCATTCTGACGTGATCTTGTATAGTTATACATGTAAGCATGACAAAATATTGAAGGTACTCAATCTGAATATGCATGACATTTATAACAGAATGAATGAGTTGTTAGCACTGGTAGAAATAACAATGTACGACCAGATAACTATTAGAGATATGGTGGAAGATGACCACAACTTAAATATTGAAGATCGTTTGACATTCAGAAAAGCAGGAAGCTAGGAATAGCTGGTGCGAGCTTTTAAATGTGGTATACTTGAATTTGGATATGACATTTTGATAACGTGCCACATCAAGCATTGGTGCACAAAGCAAGAACTTCAGGTGTAGGGGTTCATCTATTAGCATGGATAAAGGTCAACAGGAAGTACAGAGTAGGGATAAATGTCTTTTTTTCGGATTTACTGGCAGTGAGGTGCCACAAGGATCAGTCCTAGGGTCACAACTACTTACAATTTATGTATATGACTTGGATGTGAAGGTCAAATGTATGGTAACTATGTTCAATGATGACATCAAGGTGGTTAGGAAAGAAAATTATCAAGAGGAGCTAGAAAGTTCACAAAGGGATACAGATTAAGTGAGTGGACAAAAGTAAGGGAGGTGGGTTTATAATGTGGGAAAATGTGAACTTGTTCACTTTGGCAGGCAGAATCTTAAGATTGAATAGGTTGTGCCTATACCCATTGGACTTTAGGGCGTGGGACAATCTTATTGAAGCATAACATCCTGCAGGGTCTTGATAAGATAGAAATATTAAAAAGGAGCAGCAGTAGGCCATTTGGCATTTTGAAAAGCAGAGCAGGCTCAATACATTGGAACAGCTTCAAGCTTCCCTCCAAGCCACTCACCATCCTGACCTTGAAATATATCACTGTTCCTTCACTTACTGCGTCAAAATCCTGGAATTTCCTCGCTAATGACATTGGGAGTCAACCCACCGCGGGTAGATTGCAACGGTTCAAGAAGGCAGCTTACCGCCACCTTCTCAAGGGCAAGTAGGGATGGGCAGATAAATGCTGGCCAGCTAGCGACGCCCAGATCCCACAAATGAATTAAAAAAAAACTGAGTATCCTGTTCCTGCTTTTCCCCCAGAACCTTTGATTCCTTTAGCTGTAAGAACTAAGAAGTTAAACACTAAACAGATCTTTCCCGTTATGGTGAGATTAGAATCTGGGAATGCATTTTAATAATATGAGATTTCCTTTTTAAGATGGGTGAGCAAAGTTTTTTTTTTAAGGATTATTAGTAAGTAGAATTTTCTTGTCCCGGAAAGTGACAGAGGCAAGATTATCGAATTTATTCAAGGTTGAGTTAGGTTTTTGATTTTGAGATTGAGGCTTTTAAGAGACAGGCAGAGCGTAAATTTGAGATAACAACCAGATGTGGTTTATTCTTACAGAATGATGAAGCAGGCTTGAAGAGTTGAATGACCTATCCCTACTCACTTGTTCCTAGGGAAAAGAGCTGAGTTAATTTGAAACATTAAGAGTACAATTGTTGGGTATACATTTTCGAATTGACTAATTTTAATTTTTTATTATTGCAGTCATGGTCAAAGGGATACTGCTCAAATTCTGATTTCAAGGGGAGCCAAATACTTACCTGACAAAAATGGTGTTACTCCACTGGATCTCTGTGTACAGGTGCAAACTTTAGTTCTGGTATTGTAACTCAGAAAATGTACTTGCTGCTTTTTTTTTAATCCAAAGGAGGAATAGAAACTTTGTTCTACATTTAACAAAGTTTAGTTTTCAGGAGTAGAATAAATTCTGTTATGTAGATTTGTAATGAATTTGGATTCTGAAATGATCTATGAAGGAATTTTCAATTTTATTTATCCATCTTTCGGCAGCAATTTCACATTACCTATTGGAATAAATTATTTAGGTACAGTTTGTTCTGGGTAGACCAAGTAACCTTATTCTGATTTCATTTTCTGCACTTCACAACGGAACTTTTTCTTTGAAAGCGCTTCACCTTGCTCCTCCCTGTAGTACCCCTCTGGTCACTGCCTGCCATTCAGAAAAATGTGCATTTATTCCTACTCTGTTTCTTGTCTGCTAACCAATGTTCTATCTATTTCCGAGTGAAAGGAAATATTGCTATTAATGTGCCTTTAAGCAGCCTCTTGGATATCCCTGCCAGATCTTATCAGGTGATAATGAGGGAAGATGATGAGCATGGCAGTGGGGGCTGTGATTTGATGGGTGGTGATCTGGAAACATTACTCCTGTGCGGTAGTAATGTTTGTGAATCGAATGTAATTTCTTGTGATTATTTTGCTTGTTTAGGGAGGGTATGGGGAGACATGTGAAGTTTTGATCCAGCACCACCCCAGACTCTTCCAAACACTGATTCAGATGACACAGAATGAAGATATCAAAGAGAACATGGTAAGGTTCTTTCAACTTGATTCACAAGATCAGTTATGAATTTTAAAAGTACTTGTCTATAGCATTTTGTTTTATACTACAGTATAGCATAACATGTATGAATATTGAACAGTGTTGGAAAAAGCCCATCTGCCTGGTCCCCTATATTATCACCTATACATTTAAAAAACCCATGATTTGATTACCTGAGGGGGACACAAAAACAAATGTAAAACTCAGGACAAAATCAGAAATTGCTGGAAAAATTCAGCAGGTCTGACAACATTTGAAGTTGGTTCTGAAGAAGGCTTACTGGACTTGAAACATTAACTCTGCTTTCTCTCCACAGATGCTGCCACACGTGCTGAGATTTACCAGCAATTCCTGATTTTGTTTCTGATTTCCAGCATTCACCAGTTCTTTGTTTTTGTTTTTGAAACTGGGCAGGGGCAAATAGGACATTCCTTTTGCTGCAAAACAAAAATGGTGATGTAATATTGACTACAAAATCATTCTGGCCCCATCATTCTTTTGTATTATGTGTCTTTTTACTTTGTCAGCCTGCCAAGTTCAATTCTTGTCTGAAGAAATACAACAAAATTGATGCCAGCTGAACAAGGCAGTAGTCTATTTCAGGAGTCTACTTTTCCGAGAATCTAACTGTCTTGACATTTGAACCTAAATCTGGGTTAATCAACTTAGGATTGCAATTCCCTCGTCCTCTCTAACCTACCAGCGTGTAACAAAAACTACTTCTCGACTCAAGTGCCAATGTTGTCGTCATCTTCATCTTATAAATATCGTTCATCTTACTACCATTTTTTTTTAAACTGTTTTAGTTTCTGTTCTGAATTAGTTTGCTAGTCTGTTTTTAACACTCAGCTTCAGACATCATATAAGGAGACTATTGCAGTTTTCCAATGGAGCCCTGACCAAGATCTTGCACAGAAATAAATTCTTGTAATAGAGCCTTATAACGTTGACACTTTCCCAGGTAGTTCGCAGAACAATTATCAAATATAATTTAACACTGTGCCACATTGTAGTCCTTGAAGTAGGTTTGAAGGAGCAGCGTAAAGAATTAAGGAAGAAAAGGAGGGTATTGCAGAGCTTGTGGCCTAGACAGCTGAATCTGTGACCAGCAGTGATGGAGTGATTAAAATCAGGGACACTTGAGCCAGAATGGAAAGCAGCATATTGAGGAATATAGGGCTGGGAGAGGTTCCATAAATTAGAGAAGCATGAAGCCATGGAAGAATATGAAAATCAAAGATGAGAATTTTGAGATTGTAGGCCAGTGAGTCATGGAGGTCAGTAGATGAATGGAACTTGGTACAAGTTAGGTTGTGGGCAACAGAGATTTGAATGAGTTTAACTTCTATAAAGGATGCAAGGCAGAAGGCATAGGAATACTCAAATGAAGAGAAAACTTTGAGGTAGAAGATGTGGATGACCAGGAAATTTGCAAAGGTAGCATATAAAATGGGCAGTGTTAGAGGTAGAAGTAGATGGTCTTAGTAGTGGCCAATTGTGTAGTCAGAAGCACACCTTAGGATCAAGTATAATGCCAAGGTTAAGGCATATCATGTTCATCTTTGGACAGTTGCCAAGAAGGGGAGTTAATGCTGGCGTTTGAAAACGTGACTTCAGTCTTCCTAATGTATAGTTTGACAATATTTCTGCTCGGACATGTTGGGCAAACAATTGGAAGATATACAGACAGTGGATAAGTCAAGCAGGTTGTGCTGGGGTTGAAGTGGATGTCTTGCATATATATGTTGAATTTGCTTTTGAAGAAAATTACTGAGGGCAAAATAGTATGCTTTGTCTTAGTCAATTATCCTATAAATAAATATTCTAAAACATGCTGTGCTTTAATTATCACATTATGACAGTGCTCGTGAATCTTCAGAAATCTATTTTCTAGAACATCCAGATCTCTCTCTCAGCTTCCTTTAGTGCTAAAATGTATATGCAAATTGAGCATTTGTCCTTCCTTGGGCTGAAAACAGCATGTTTCCAGTCTAAACATCATTTCACAGTCAAGAGTCCAAATTACCCCAAAATATTTGGCCTGCCTGAAGAAGCTGAACATTGTTTACATTCTAATACTTGCAGAAAGATTGGATCATTAGCATATTTGTCAATCATGTTTCCAGTGACTACATACAGTTCATGACTAAAATCAGGAAAGAACGATAGTTTTTCAAAACAAATGCCTATGGGTCACCACTGGTAACCAGTCCCAAACTGGTGCAAATCCATTTGTAATTACTTCCTGCCTACATACTTCCAAACAGACTTCAGTCCAGCTCAGTTCTTACTAGTAATGTAAGAGGCTTCTACCTTGGGTATAAAAGCTTCTTGTCTTATTTTGTCGAAAGCTTAGACAAATGCAGTAGGTCTCTTGGCAATATATTGTTGTAATGGCATTGCTTAATATATTGACGCTTCATACAAACTATAAATTTATATTATTGATCTATGTAAGTTTTCAGCTTTCATTGCGATTGCACATTTTTAAAGTCTTTAGATATGAAAATAACCAATTTAGCTGTGTTTGCTGAAATCTTTAATAACGTTTATAATCCCTTTGAAATTAACGTGAAAAATGTAAACTGTAATTATTAGCATTGAAAGTTAAATTTCTTGAAAATGGAGACGTCAGTGAAGGTGGTTATCTTAATGTGGAGGTGCCGCTGTTGGACTGGGGTGGACAAGGTCAGAAATCACACACCACCAGGTTATAGTCCCACAAGTTTATTTGAAAACACAAGCTTTTGGAGCCTCACTGTAACACTTGAAGAAGAAGTGAGGCTCTGAAAGCTTGTGGTTATCTTGACAGTCATCCATCCCTTTAATGCAATTACAAATTAAGATAAGCCTCATAGTAACTTAAAAGACACTGCAGTCTTTCAGTTAGAAAAGCCTGCTGCCACGACATTTTAGGTTACTGTGGCTATCCTATGTATTACTGTAGTGAGGACACTCTTCTCTTAATTCAAGAGAAAAATAAGTCTGCTTCTTAACAGTATGAAATTTGTAAAAATGACAAAGATGCATCAGCATGAAAACTTGCCAGCTAATTTTAGTTTTGAGCTACCTGCCACCTTGTAGATAGCTCTATTATTTGTCATTCATGTTGTGTGTTTTATAGGCTTTTGAATAAGCATTTAAGGTTAGATCTGGTTTATTTTGCATTTAGTTGCGGCAAGTTCTTGAGCACCTATGTCCTCAGAACGAAAGTCTGTATCAGAAGATCCTGACCAGTCTTGCTGAAGTTGCTACAACAAATGGTCACAAGTTGCTTAGGTAAGTTGACAACAGCAATGGGCTCTGAACCAAGTGTGGACTCTAATTTCAGTCCCTTCAGCACAACTTTAGATCATTTAAAGGGAATCTGTGTAAAGTTAAATATTAGCATTAATTATTTAGATTCCCCCATTGGGAAGTAGCAGTTTTTTTTCTCATTCGTTCAAGCCTCATGCACAAGTCTGGAGCACTAATTCTTAAAATATATTTCTGTGCTGGATAATCAAACAGCCATCCATTCAGCAGAGTAATGAAGAATCAAGGTTGGTTCACTTACCCTTCTGGCTGAAATTATAGTGATATATGAAGTTATGGTGTCGGGCTTTAATAGAATATTAGTAAACATTTACTATAGAGTTGCCTGTGAATTATTGAATATTAAGGCTAACATTGAGCGTGAAAGTACCTTTTGTTTCATTGCCACCTCCTCCATCAGGTAAAAATGACAGCAGTAGTATTGTCACATTATTATAATGAGCAGTTTATATACTATAAACTTGTCTTCATGCCAAATTATCTTTCAGACATGAATAAAATGGTCAACACGTGGGATTAATCCAGATACTGTTCAGTGATATTTACATGAGTTGAATAATGATGGAAAAAGTCAGCAGGTTTGACAGCATCTGTAGAAAGAATTCAGAGTTAAGGGACACTGAACCTGAAATGAACACTCTGATTTCTCTCCACAGAAGCTGCCAGACCTGTTGACTTTTTCCAGCAATTTTTTCTTTGATTTTCAGCATCTGCAGTTCTTTAATTGAAAAATGTTACTGTTTTGCAAAATAACAGTTGCAGGTCAAAATATTAGATTTCACTTTTTCCTCTGTCCTCAGTATATCAAGTAACTATGAAGCTCAGATGAAGAGTTTATTGAAGATAGTACGTATATTCTGTCATGTATTTCGCATCGGCCCAACCTCTCCCAGTAACGGAAATGATATGGCTTACAATGGGAATAAAACACCAAGAAGCCAAGTTTTCAAGGTCAGAAAAATATATGATATAATGAGGAAGATTGAAGTAAAGGAGATGTATTTAATAAAGCACTCAAACATTAACCAGACAACTCTTGAAAGAGAAGTTTGGTTGACAGAGTATATACACAGTTACAAAATTTGTTGCTTGGTATTTCATAACTAGATTACGGTTGAAATGAGAAACATGTTGCCAACACTTTTCATCTTGCATTCTTCATGATAAATGTTAAAAAAGCCTAATTTCAAATAATCACAGCAATTTATGTTGAAGGAGAGAGGGATGGTGATTGTTGGGCATGTCAAGTCTGATTTGCCAAAGCATTGCCATGGTGAAAGAAATGTTGAGGTTATAGACTCCCAAGTTTCCAGGCAATGCAGGAATGACGATACTTGATCCTTTTTGGAAAAAAAATGGGTCCTGTGTAAGGAATTAGCATGAATGCATGCTGCTTCTAGGAGACGTAATTGAGCAGTGTTATGAATATTTTAAATTGATTATTAGTTTAGCTGTTAGCACACTTGGAATTGTTCAGCATGTACTGCCAAGGTAGGAATTATGATTTAGCAAAGATATTTTGCTTTGGGCTTGGCAAGCCTGCGCTGGTTGATTATAGTCTATGCTCTGTTATGAACAGCCAAAGGAGAATCACGTTTGATTTTAATCCAAGCGAAGGACTGCAGATGCTAGATGAAACAGACAGAAAATGAGCAGGTCTGGTAGCATGTGTGGAGAGAGAAAAATAGGTTTAATGTTTGAGTCTTGTATGACGCTTCCGTTCTGAAGAAGTCATATCGGATTTGAAACATTAACTCTTTCTCTGTACGCAGATGCGGCCAGACTTGCTGAGTTTCTCAGCATTTTCAGTGATGTTTGATTTGATTAGCTAATCATTAGGACATTTATATTCCATCTTATTGGCACTAAACTCACAGACAAATTGCTTAATTTGTCAGCAGAACATCATTTTGGGCAGATGGCAGTATTCTGAGTGTGCAAAATACCTCTTGTTTTATTTTATCCATGGCAAGCTTTAGCCAATCAGTGGCAACCTGTCAGCCATTACCATTTTATCGAATGTGAATGATTGTGATCGTTCTTGTGTTTGTCCTGATGATTGCAAGATGAATTACTTCAGCAACAGGTCTCCCTTTCCAGCAATACTGCAGCTTGAATTCTTTAAGTTAACAATTTATTTTTGCTCAGCTTTGAACTAAAAATTCCCAAATCAGTTTATTGATTTTGTAAGTGATTTACTTTTTTTTTGTTAATGGATACGTGCCCAATTCTGTTCGTTCTTTTCAATTAAATTCTCTTGGATTCCTTGGATAAGGCAGAGAGGAAATTTTGAAGAAATTTCTTTTCTTTAAGGATTTCTAATAATACCTTTATGAAAGAAATTCTTATTCTGTCAATGTTGTGTTACAAGGATCTTCTGTGGCATAATAGAACATGGTTTTCCCATTTTGTTTTGATATGGACAGCATAGAAAACCCTTTGAGCTTTGTTTTAATTTTAGTCAGGATTTAACACTACAGTTTGAGATTTTGCTCAGATCTGTCAGTCTTGCTTCTGAGGCAAACTTATTTTGCTCAAGCCCAAAGCTTGCCACTTCAGAGTTTTGAAGAAATGCGGCAATGTCTGAGGTCTGTTTTTTCGTAGTCTTAGAGATTCACAGCACGGAAATGGACACTTTTTGGTCCAACTTGTCCATGCCGACCAGATATCCTAAATTAATCTAGTCCCATTTGTCAGTATTTGGCTCATTCCTCTAAATCCTTCCTATTCATATACCCATCTAGATGCCTTTTAAATGTTGTAATTGTATCAGCCTCCACCACTCCTGTGGCAGTTTATTCCATGGACACACCACTCCCTGCATGAAAAAGTTGCACCTTTACGTCCCTTTTAAATCTTTTCCCCTTTCACATTAAACCTATTCCCTGTAGTTTTGGGCTCCCTTGGGGAAAAGACCTTGGCTATTCACCGTATCCATGCCCCTCTATAAGCTCACCCCTCAGCTGCTGCTGCTGCAGTGAAAGTAACCCCAGCCTTCTCCCAAAAGCTCAAACCTTCCAAACTCGGCATCCTTGTGAATCTTTTCGGAACCCGTTCAAATTTAACAACATTCTTCCTATAGCAGGAAAACCAGAACTGAACTTGGTATTCCAAAAGTGGCCTCACCAATTTCCTCTACAGCCACATGACTTCTGAACTTCTATACTCAATGCACTGACCAATAAAGGCAAACGTACCAAATGCTGCCTTCAGTACCCTGTCTACCTGTGATTCCACTTTTAAGGAACTATGAACCTGCATTCCAAGGTCTAGTTGTTCAGTAACCCACTCCCCAGGATCCTACCATTCAGTGTATAAGAATCACCAAAATGATTTCCTGTACGAAAATGTGACACCTCCCATTTATCTAGATTAAAGTCCATCTGACACTCCTCGGCCCATCTGATCAAGGTCCCATTGTACTTTGAGGTAGCTTTTTTTGCTTTAGAGTAGATTTGTAGCTCGGGTTGTGGATGTTGTGGTTGGTTGGCTTGCCGAGCTGGTTCGTTGTTCTGCAGACGTTTCATTACCCTGCTGGGTAACATCATCACTGTAGCCTTTGCTGTCCACTGCACCACTAATTTTGGTGTCATCTGCAAATTTACTAACCATACCTCCTGTATTCACATCCAAATCATTTATATAAGTGACAAAAAGCAGTGGACCCAGCACTGATCTCTGCAGCACACTGCTGGTGACATGGGAGATTAAACTGAAACCCCACCTGTCTTTTCAGGTGGACATATTCGCACCACTATTCTAATTTAAAAAAAAAGAGCTAGGAAAATTCTTTTGGTGCTCTTGCTCACATTTATTTTTAAACCAATATCACTAAAACAGATTAACTGGTCAGTATTTCATTTCTCTGTTGGAACCTTGTGTGCATATTTGCTGCTTTTTTTTTCAATGTAACTAACTAAACTTTAGAAGTACTAAACTATATTAAACACGTTTGGACTCTTAAGGTCATGAAAGCTTTGACATAAATGCAACTAATTTTTTACTCAAAAGCTTGAACTTAGTGATAGAGAAAAAGGAAGACTTGCCTTTATATTGTGCTTTTCTCATCTGCTGGACATCCAGTGAAATACTTCTAAAGAATAGTAATTGCAAAGTAGATAATGCTGCAGTCAAACTGCACAACAAATTTCCACAAAAGAAATATTTTAATGATCAGCTTTAATACGATGTTTGGGGGATAACTATTGGCCAGGACTCTGGGGTTCACTCCACTGCTGATCTTCAGAAGTGTGGAATGTGATCTTTACATCTAGGAGTAGGCAGCTGGTTACAGGAGAGGTTTAACCCTCAGTCAAAATGGCACTGCACGTGCCCTCAGTAATGTACTGGAGTGTCAACCTTGATTTTTGTGTTCAAGCCCTGCAAGTTCCCCTCCAAGTCACTCTCCATCCTGATTTGGCGATATATTGTTGTTCCTTCAGTGTCGTTAGATCAAAATTTTGGAGCTCCCTCACTTTTGGGTGTACCTACACAAATGGATTACAGTAGTTCAAGAAGGAAATTTGCCATTACTTTCTGAGGTCAACGTGGAAAATGAGTGCTGGCCCAGATAGCAGCACCCACATTCTATGACTGAATAAAGAAAAGATGATAATTCTCATTTGTTTCTGATTGAAGCTACCTAATGCAGCATCATACAGCATAGGGGCAAGGACCAGGAATTGGCCATGTAATGGTAAATCACTGGACTGGTAATCCAGAGGCTGTAGACCAATGTTCTACGGACACTGGTTCAGATCTCACTGTGTGTCAGCTGGTGGTATTCAAATTTGGAATTCAGATGTGGAATTGGAAGCTAGTCTCTAAGAGTGGTGATTTTTTTTTTGTGAAAGGTTCTTCTGGTTTGCTAATGTTCTCTCACCAGTGTTTTCAGTTGTATAGAACATCTTCATTCTGGTGCTTGAATCACTTGTACCTTCATGTTATCTTCCAATGACTTGTGATCAAGGTCGCCAGGTCCATTTGGACATCAATGCTCCTCAATATCAAACCATTTAAGAAACAGCCTTCGCTTCCATTCTTCCTAAAAGTGAGGTTGAGCACGTTACATTCCATCTGCTATGTTCTTGTCCACAGACTCAGCCTATCCTGAAGCCTCTTTGTGATCTCACCAGATCTATTTCCATCAGTTTTGTTTCATTCACAAACTTGGAAATATTACATTTGTTTCCCCAAATCCAAATCACTAATATAAAGTGCGAACAGCTGGAGTCTGAGTCCTGATCCTTGCAGTACCCCGTAACTTATAAGTTGGATCTGTGCTGCCTTTGGTCCACCTGGCTGGGATCTACATTTGCTAAGTAATATCGAAAAATTCAATATTTTCATGTTTCCTGGTAATTGTTATTGTGATTAGTTCTATGCATTCTTCTAAACCTACTTTGCTGAAAACCAATTCAAGATTGAGATTTTACTCCTGGCCAAACTAAAGAGCTGAAGGCTTTTCAATTATTTCTCCCCATTGCATTACTTTCATGATTTCAATTGCTCTGTTCTGTACTTGCTAAGATTGAAGCAATACAAGCAAATGGAATCCAGTATAGTACTTAAACTGATTGGTATTCTTTATATATTTTGCAAAGCAATTTTCCAGATGATGGTTTAGTGATAAGATGAGCTAATCATGATTTTGTTACTATTTGCTTTCTCTTTGTTTTAACAGCCTTTAGAACTACTGTGGCATTCACTGGATGAATGGTTAGTTCTTATTGCTACAGAATTGAAAAAAAGTAAGGAGGACTCTGAAATGGATGCCAAAAACATCACTTCAATTTTACTGAAACAAAGAGCCCAAGAACAGCAAGACATTGTCACTACTCGAGTATTTAAGACTGTTAGCAAAGAGATCTTGGAAGACCAACATGCCAGCTTAGAGAAAGTTGAAGATGGTGACAACATGACACAAGATGCCAGTTCAGATTGTCTAGATGTAATTTCTATGACAGCAAACCGACTGAGTGCAGTAATCCAGGCTTTTTATATGTGCTGTTCCTGTCAGATGCCTCAGGGGTGAGAAAAATTGAAACTTTGGCTTGATTTTAGCCAAAACCTTTCTATTGTCTTCTTTGTCTGTCTATAGGATAAATTTGTTTGAATATGGAAATCTCAACTGGTTTGCTCTGGAGCTATTATGCTATTAAGTGGATTTCCTTTTTCCAAATAATAAGCACAAGTTGTCCAGGTGCAAGTATCTCTCACTTTTGACATTAGTATACTGAATTTTAGTTTTACTTATATTCTTTCTATCTCCTCTTCTGTGATATGTAGGAACATGGACTTTTTTAGACCAAGATAGAAAAATTAAAGAACATTGATATTGGAACATTTGCATTTTAAGTGAACTAGTGACTGATGGCTTGAGAATTTTGTGAATGTTTTAAAAGTATAAGTGCAACAGGAGGGAGTTTGAACATGTGCAGCTTAATCAGAAGTGAATAAGAGAGATGCCACAGATTGTCAGACTGCATAGGAGGACATGCAAAATGATGAGATGGGAGCAGTAGACCGCACAGCCTACTGAGCCTACTCTGCCTTTCAATATGATCATGGCTGTTTGAGGGCTCAACTCCACTTTGTGTTCCATTCCCATATCACGCTATTCCCTGAGAGATCAAATAACCCTCTTTGTCTCAGCGAGAAATGCATTCATTGAAGTTGTCCATTCTGATGCGCCATTCCAGTTTCCTGCCTACCTGCAGCACCCACCTATTTTGCTGGCCTAATGCTGCAAACCTTCTGTACTTTATGGCTCAGAGATAGCAAGAACTACAGATGCTGGAGTCAGAGACAATGCAGTATGCAGCTGGGGGAAGACAGCAGGCCAGGCAGCATCGTAGGAGCAGGAAAGTTGTCATTTCCGGTTGGTTTGGCTGGCTGAGAAATGGGGAGGGGGAAGGCAGCTGGGAACTAAATAGAGGGAGGAGGGGTGGGGCTGGGGAAAAGTAGGTGGGGTGGTGATAGGTTGGATGCATGTGGGGATAGTGGGGATTGGTCAGTGAGATGGGTGGGGCGGATAGGTGGGAGAGAAGATGGACAGGTTGTGTTGGATCAAGGAGGTGGGAGGGAGGGTGGATGGGGCTGGGGAAAGGTAGGTGGAGTGGTGATAGGTTGGATGCACTAGAGGGTAGTGGGGATTGGTCGGCGGGAAGGGTAGGGCGGATAGGTGGGGAAGGTGATGTGCAAGTAGAGGGTATTTGCATGCTATTCACAGTTGCAAGAGTGCATAAGAAGATTGCAACTCGTGCTGCTGCAGCCACTTCTGACTTCTTGACTCAATTGAGGCTGATGTCAGATTTGTAATCTAGCTGCCCTTTTTTTCCCCCTGTTTATTAATGGTATGTGAATGCCACTGTTAAACTAGCAACTGTTGCTCATTCCTGGTTCCCTAGAAAAGGTGGTGTGAGCTGTTCACTTGAACCATTGTGGTTGAATTGGTGTTAGTATGCCAATAGTACTATTCGAAAGGGAGATCAGATTTTTGACCAAGTGATTATGGTTCCAAGTCCGTATAAGAACCATAAGAAATAGGAATAGGAGCAGGGCACTTGGCCCCTCGAATTGATATGGTTTGAACGTTGAAAGAAAACCTGTGATGGTGGAGTCCCTATATATTTACTGCCCTTGTCCTTCTGTATGGTAGTGGTCATAGGCTTATTGAATTTCTGCATTCTAGATGGTAGACACTGCTGCTATGGAGTATTGGTGGTGGAGCGAGTGGATGTTTGTGGATGCGGTGCCAATTAAACGATCTGCTTTGACTTCTGTGTTGTCAAGCATCTTGAATGTTGTTGAAACTGCACTCATCCAGGCAAGTGCAGTCAAATAGCCTCCTTCTGCACTGTAATAATTCTGTAATTCTTTGATGTGCGAAGTATTATATCACCTTCCTGACTTGTGCCTTGTACGTGGTGGACAGGCTTCGAGTCAGCGGATGAATTACTGGCTGCAGGATTCCTAGCCTCTAGCTGCTGTGGTAGCCACTGTATTTATGTCGCTAGTCTGAATAATTTTCGCTTAATGGTAACCCATAGGTTGTTGGTAGTGGAGGATTCACTGATGGGAATGCCATTGAATGAAAAGGGATGATGTTTAGATTCAATGTTGTTAGAGATGGTCAGTGCTTGGCACCTATGTAGTATGAATGTTCTTACCACTTTCAGCTCAAGCTTGGATGTCATCCAGATTTTGCTGCGTTTGGACATTGATGTAGTATCTGAGGAGTTCTGAATGGTGTGGAACATTGGGCAGTCATCAGCAAACATCTCTTAGGAGTTTGGAGAGAATGTCATTGAAGCAGCTGAAGATGAGGAACTTCTGCAGCGATGTCCTTGACCCGACATGACCAACATACAATAACCACAACCATTTTCCTTTGACTCAAATATGACTCCAAGCAGAGTTTCTCCTGTTTTCCATTGACTGCAGTTTTGCTAGGACTCATTGATGCCACTGTGTACTGTTGTCAGAATTTTGTCAGGGTCCATAGACTTGGCAGTATTGAGTGCCTTTAAACATTTTTTGATACTAAGTGGAATGAATGAAATTGTTTGAGGACTAGCACCTGTGATTTTGGGGACCTCCTGGAGGTGTCCCAGATGGATCACCTGCTCAGCACTTCTAGCTGAAGATTGTAAGTGCTTCAGTTTTGTTTTTCTTTTGCACTGCTATTCTGAGTTTTCCCACTGTTGAGGATGGGGATATTTGTAGACCCTCCTCCTCCAGTGAGTTGTTGACTTGTTCACCTGCCAAATCCAGTCGTGATTTGTGGACTGCTGAGCTTAGGTCTGATACCTTGGCAGTGGAATCGCTTACTTCTGTCACTTCTACTTAGACTGTTTTGACATGCAAGTGGTCCTGGTCCTGTAGCTTTACCAGATTGACATCTCGCACCTTTAAATATGCTTGGTTCTGCTCCTTGCACTCTCCATTGAACCTTTTTAAAGGAGACTTGGTGAGTTACTGGAATGCATTTTGTGAATGGTACACATCACTGCCACAGTGTGTGGGTGATGAAGGGAGTTCATTTTTAAGGTGGATGAATGAGGTGCTGAGCAAAAGGACTGTTTAATTGTTTGGTGTTGAACTTCGAGTACTGTTGGAGCTCTACCCAACACACTCCTCACGTATGGTGAACAGGGAGTCAGAAAGTGAGTTTGCAGAATTCCCTGTCTCTGACCTTGGTCTCATTATCACAGTAGCAAACTTGATTTCAGAGTAAGATTGCTGGGATATTGAGGGGAAATACAGGAACTAATGGTCTGATGGAATAAATGTGGCCAAGTTTGTAATTGACAATGGCTATTAATGCTAATCTTATTGGAATATATAATGCTTATGATCTTCTGGAAACCATGAAAGGTAAAGGCAATATTGGCACCTCAGAAGGAGTGTGTAGAAATTAAACTCATTATTAATTCTTAACCCAACTTTAAATTTAATACAATGAGTAGAACTTATCCTTTTTTTTTTCAGTTTTAATGTGGTTAGAGATGTGTTGTCCTGCATCTGCAACAATTTTGCTGATTGGAATCAACTGTGCATTCAGGATGACCACTTTTTTTTTCCTTGAAATGGACAGGCTGTTTTGTAGGTTACTGCAGAATAGTTCTGATATTTCTGTATAGACCAAGTCCAGTTTTCAAATATTCATCTAAAATTGATGTGAACATGCATGAAATGGAAGGTGTTTCACATTTTTGTGTGTATGGCTGGAGGTAGGTTTTGTGCAACAGTGACCATTGACACTGGGTGTTGTTATTATCCTAGATGCAAAAAGTTCAAACCCCATGCTGGAACTTTGAGTATAGCCATCTTAAACTGCGCTGTAAACTTATACAATGACATACCTTAAATTATGAGATTATCCGAGTGTTCAGAGGACTTTTTTTCACCCAGGAACTCATAAATTTTGATATGCATCATGTTCAGCCTTTGCATGATGCTAAGACTGGCCAATTATTTTTGGTTACACCATGCTCTTTTGATCCTAACTTCGATGTTAGTTTAGTTGTTCAACTGGATGTATGATGTTCTTCACTTGGGCCTAGGCACAGGGAATGAGTTTGAACTGTGTATATATATGCCAGATAGTTTCAGTACCGAGTTGGCATTTGCATGAGCTGCACTTGAATGTCTAAATAAATTTCGAGGCGACAAACTGAAAGTTACTCTGAACTGCATAGTTTGATTAATGGGTCGTGGTTGGGATATACTTATAATGGGGTATATTCTCTTTTGGGCGCATTCAGTGTTCATATGGTGCTAACATTTAGGATTTTACATTTAAAGCAAATCCTAGCAAGATAGATAATTTGACCACAGAGCCATTATATTGATTACAAAAAAAAACTAGTTTAATGTGTGAAACTGCTTTATTTTGAGTATGTAGATTTGAAACTTGAGACTTCTGTAACGTAGATTTCCATTGTGCATGTATGATCAGCTTTTCAGTTGGAGCCATAATCGTAACCGTATAGAAGAGTAGGTCATTTGGCCCATTTGAGTCCATGCCATCTTTGAAGATTAGTCAGTCCCATACCCCTGCTGTATCACTCCAGCCTTGCAAATTTTTCTTCCTCAATTCTCCCACCCAATTTCTTTCTAAAATCATTGTTTCCCCTTCACCGTTGTAGGCAACGAGTTACAGGTCGTTATCATTTATGTTAAAGTAAAGCTCTTCCTCACATCCCACACGGAACACATTGGTGCACATGAAAAAGAACATATGCCGTTTTTCTTTTACAGAATGACATCACCTCGCTTTATAGAATTTGTATGCAAGCATGATGAAGTTCTGAAGTGTTTTGTAACAAGGTGAGCATGTGTGCTTTTAGATGCTTCTTCACTGTCACATTATTGTGAGTGCCCATTTTAAAAAAAAAATATTTTGTTACAGAAACCCTATAATAATATTTGACCACTTTCACTTTCTTCTGGAATGTCCTGAGCTGATGTCAAGATTCATGCATATCATCAAAGCACAGGTACGCATTTGTTAAAACTTTTATAAATATAGCTTTTCAAGATCTCAGTAAATTGAAATCATGAGTTTGCAGATCAGTGATGTATCATGTTTAGTTTTGATCATCATTGAGCGGTAGATGTCATTTGAGATGGCTGTTATACTTCATCACTCCATTATTTGTTTGCAAGGCAGAGATTAACTAAGGTCAGACTAATAAAAGTCCAGTGATTTTCTGCTAGAAGTGTTTCTGTGTCTGGTGAAGGTAAGATTGTGCAGTGCTGACAATACGCATTAATGATCGTGTAAAACACTGGAAGACAACCTCTGCTTGTGAAACTGTGCCGTTGTTATGAGTCTGTGCTGAGAACCCTGCCTAACTCTTAGGTGCCTACAATTGCCCCAACTGAAGTTAACTTTGTTGATACTGAGTGATCAAACATTCATTCTTCATTGTATGTGGCTGGCTCCTGATTGCCTTAACCAAAGTAATATTGGTTAATCTTATTGATAAGCTCTTATCACTAACAGGCATTGTTGTATTAAGGTACAGCAGGAAGTTATTTTTACATGTGATTGCAGATTGTGGTCACGTTGTATTGCTATTGCATTTGTCTATGGCAGGGGCTGGTGTTGGTGGTGGGGTGGATAAGAAAAGTAGGCTAGAAATCTGGTTTCTTAAAAAATCCTTACTCCAAACTGATCATTGCCCACTGTGTATCACAAGTACACTCAAATGGGCCTGAGGTTGCTACTTTGGGTCTAAAAAAGTGTCTATTGTATCTCAAGTTGCTCTGGAAAAGTAAGTTTTCTCAAAATAAAGAAAGACAAGTGGTATTTTCTGTTAATAGGATGCTGCTGTCAAGCCGAAAAGTCATTCTGCATACCACATAAATGAGTAATGTCGTATACGAATTTTAGTCCCAGTATGACGTTAAATGTGCGCAACGTGTACCCAGCAACCAGTGAGTTGTATCAAATAGCACATTTCTTTGGCAGTTTGCAATAGGAGGATACTTACTCTTTACAATCCTATGCATGCAAAACTCAGTACCTAATGCCTTATTTCAGAATCAAGTCCACAATTGGGCAGCGTTTGCTGGTATGTTAAGAATTACAAGTGTAACAAAAAAAACCTATTGCCAGTTGGGCATGCAACTCCGATCACTTAAGCATATTCCCCATTAAGTGTATCCGTACACAGGTACCTGTCCTGTGCAAGAAACAAACAGCATGATTAAACATTGAGTTTTGTTTTGAATTAAACGAAGTCTTAAATCACTTGCATATTCTTCCAGGCAGTGCTTGGCATTGCCTTGCCCTTTACCATTTTTTTTATGAGAGAGAGTCTTTCCTGCCTTTGAAATTTGGCTTTTTTGCATTTGTCCTGACGAATGCAAGACCGAAATCTTTGACAGCATGTCTGTGTACTTTTTAAGCAATATCTTTGTTAAGGACAACTTTACCTCTGGTGTTCTTACTTCCACTACTTCAAAATCTTGCTATTATTGCCCCATGATGTGAAACTTTACTCTTCTGTAACTTTATTCTGAGTGATCAGGGATAAGGAGCTATTGATTGAGAACTGGTATTACATGATGAGGGGGGCATCAACATTTCATACTTCACCTCCATTTCAGTAGTTTATGTTCATAATTTTCTTTTGAAAATTATGTGGAAAAGATATTAATTAGGTTCTTTTCTCTTTGTTTTTTAAGCCCTTCAAGGATAGATGTGAGTGGTTCTATGAACATCTTCATGCTAATCATCCTGACTCTGATATGGTACACAGGCCAGTTCATGAAAATGATATTCTCCTTGTTCACCGAGGTACAGTTTGAGTTATGTTTACTGTACAAAAGTATTTCATTTAAAAACTTCATCTTGTCACAAATGTCATTTATTTTTCACTTTTTTTTGAATGAAGTGTGCTTTGAACAAGGGACTAATCATTTTTCTTTATTTTAGAAGTCTTGTCAGATTAACATTGGATTTGAACCTTTCAGAAGTGTCATGATTGCAAACAAAAGTGTACTATTACAAATTACCCTTCAGTGTGATGTCAGGATGCTTTCTTCAAGTGTAAATTGCAAAATAGTGAACAGCAACAAAGCCATTGAACGTCAAAGAAATTATCCCTATTTAAAATATTTCTAATTGTTTTATTGTTCCCATTATAAAGAGTGAAATTATTGAATTTTCAATTGGATTCGGTTAACCACCAGAGCAAGGCTGAGAGAGGGGTTCCTGGTTTTTGTGCTAATGAACTATTTCCTGTACAAGTAGGTTCTCCCAGGAGAGTGTCAGTTGGATAGAGAGAGCACACTACTATTGTCAAAGGAAACATGGGATCTCCAAGCAGGTATCCAGCTGTGTAAAGGCCCTTAGTAAACAGGCTCAGGACAAGCCAGAGTCCCTGCAAAACAGACCTCCAGTGCTGGGCCTTCAGTACAAATGCCTTGTGTAATAATGGAGAGACATCAACAATGCTTCGCGTTACAAAGGAATGTCCCCTCTGCAGTATAAGTAATGGGCTAATTGTGTATATCTCAGCAAAATAAGGGGACAGTTGCTTGGCTCCAGGGATTTGCACTCATTAAGTAAGTAGGAATTGATGCTAAAGCCAAAATTGAATCCCTTCGGACATTTTACATCCGGAGAAACCAATGTCATAGTCATTGAGACAGAGATCTACAGTACAGAGAAAAGTCTTTAGGTCGATTGAGTCTGTGCTGGTCAAAGATAACTACCTAACTTTTCTATTCCATTTCTCAGCATTTTCCTAGAGCCTTGTATACCTTGGCATTGCAAGTGTACATTTGAATACTACCACCCTAACAGGCATTAGTTCCAGATTCTAACTACTCTCTGGATGGGGAAAAAAAAAATTCCTCATATCCTGGTATCTTAAACCTATGCCTTTTGGTAATTGATTCTTCAACCAAGGGGCAAAGTTTTCTGTCTACCTCTCTTTACCCCTCATTTTTCTATACATCTTAATCACGTCTCTTCTCAATCTCCTCTGTTCCACGATGTGGGGAGGTGCCGATGTTGGACTATGGTGGACAAAGTCAGAAGTCATATGACATCAGGTTATAGTCCAATGGGTTTATGAAATCACAAGCTTTCGGAGCATAGCCCCTTTGTCAGGTGAAGTGAGAGCGAAGCATACAGACACAGAATTTATAGGCAGAGAGATCAAAAGATCATACAAATGGTTTGAGTGGGGTGTCAGATAATAAGTCTCTGCGGGTGATCAAAAGTGTCAGATGGTATGACTATAGTGTCAACAGCTGAATAATAATGAAAGGATGACCTATAATCTGATTAATTAAGGCAGAGAGATAATTACAAAAAATTAAAAATAAGGTGGTGCTGGAGACAAACCAATTGACTGGAATAACATGATAGGTATAAGAGTCGCATGCTGAGGGTCTAACCAAAGTAAGTAATCCAAAACTGTACAAACTAGTTAAGGTAGAGAGATTATAAATTTTTATCAAGGTGATGTCAAAACAGGACAGTAAGGGCGATTTTACAGATGCAGAATGGTGTAATAGTCACATGTAGCGTGACATGAGCCCAAGATCACGGTTGAAGCTGTCTTCATGGGCATGGGATTTTGGCTATCAGTTTCTGCTCGGCAATTCTGCATTTGTTGTTTATCTCGGAGTCATAGTTTGTCACTATGGCCAGTTCTGATGTGCCACAGTGACAAACCACAAGGACCTCCTCCGAAGACCCAGTTCTGACGTGCTACAGCTAAAAACCGCAACGACCCCCTTACAAGACAGACAGGATACAACCTATAGAGTACCCTCCATTGTCCAGTACTTCCCTAGAGCAGAGAGACAACGCCATGTTCTTCACAGCCTTCATGTCATCGATGGCGATGAGCCTCTCGCCAAGATCTTCCTTACACCTCCATTTCTCGCCTTCAAACAAACACCAAACCTTAAACAGACCATCTTTCGCAGCAAGCTACCAGCCTTCAGGACAACATCGACCACAACACCACACAGCCCTGCCATAGCAACCTCTGCAAGACATGTCAGATCATCCATATGGATACTACCCCCCACGTGCACGGCAGATACTCTTGTGACTTGGCTAATGATACTTATCTCATATGCTGCAGGCAGGGATGCCCTGAAGAATGGTATATTGGCGAAACCATGCAGATGCTACGCCAACGAATGAATGGACACCGCTCCACAATTGCCAGACAGGAATATTCCCTCCCATTTGAGGATATTCAGTCTTAGCTCTTCGGGTAAGCAACCTCCAAGGTGGCCTTCAAGAGATGCAACAATGTAGAGTCGCCGAGCAGAAACTGTTACTGTGAAGATGGCCTCAACCGTGATCTTGGATTCATGTCAGGCTGCATGTGACCCCACCACACTGGTTCTGTATCTGTAAAATCTTCCTTACTGTCCTGTTTTGACACCAATATCTTGATTAAATCTTAATGATCTCTCCACCTTTAATTAGTTTGCACAGTTTTGGATTAATATTTCTTTTGTTAAACCTTCAGCATGCGACTCTTATACCTATCATGTTCCTGTCCTTTGGTTTGTTTCCAGCACAACTTTATTTTTAATTCTTTGCCTCATTTAATCGGATTATAGGTCATCCCTTATCTTATTCAGCTGTTGACAATTTATTCACACTGTCTGACACTTCTTGATCACCCACAGAGCCTTATTCGACACTCCAGCCACACCATATGTATAATCTTCTGTTCTCTCCGCCTATAAATTCTGTGTTGTGCTCTTCTGCCTCACTTCATCTGATGAAGGGACTATGATCTGAAAACTTGATTTCAGATAAACCTGTTGGGCTATAACCTGGTGTTGTGTGACTTCTGACTTTGTCCTCTGTCCTCTGTTCCAAGGGAAACAACACCAATCTGTCCAATCTCTCTTCGTAACTAAAACTCTCTAGCCCAATGCAACATTCTGGTAAATCTCCCCTGCACCCTCTCCAGTGCAATCACATCCATCCTATAATGTGAATTCTAAAACTGGAAACTGTGGCTTGACTAACATTTCAGATGGTCCCGACATAACCTCCCTGCTCTTAAATTCTATGCCTCGATGAATAAGGGCAAGTATTCTATATGCCTTCTTAACTACTTTATCCACTCGCCCTGACACCTGGAGGAACCAGTGGACATGCACATCAAGGACCCTCTGACCTGTTTCCCAGGATCTGAACATTTTTCACATTCCTTTGCTTCGTATGTCCTGCCCAAATGTATCACTTCACACTCCTCTGGATTGAATTCAGTTGAATATACGAGTACAAATCCCATACAATCCACATGCAGCACTTTGTATCCCCAGTTGAAATAACTTACTAAATTAAATAAATCACACATTATATAAGAAATACAATATAAAGCAGAACACACTGGAAATGAATTACTTGTCTACAGTGCAGAATATATAGATTGACCAGGCTGCATCCAGTGGCAATGTATGCATCTGCTGGACAAGGTGTGGAGCTGCTAGTATTGGACTGGGGTGGACAGAGTCAGAAGTCACGTTCCAACAGGTTATATGAAATTACAAGCTTTCTGAACACTGCCCCTGAGTGACGAAGGGGCTACGTTCCGAAAGTTTGCGATTTCAAATAAACCTGTTGGACAGTAACCTAGTGTCATGTGACTTCAGCTGGACAAGACTATTTGCACCAACCAATGTATGCCACTAGATGGAGCCCAGGAATCCAGTTTAGAATGTTGACAGGGCCAGGTGCGGAGCAGCTCAAGGACAGACCTGGCTCTTTGTTTATGGTGAGAATGGGGGGTCAGAGCTGGTGCTAGGGCAGTCTTGGATGTACAATTAACATCCCCAATTTTTGCAATGGACTCTGGGCACCTTTAAAAGTAAGAATGGAGGATGAGCATCTGAACCAAGGTGATGACAAACTCAGGACTGGGGGAGTGGGAATGAAATCGCTTGAATTGAAACTTCAGTGGCCAGTGAATTGAGGCAGGACAGAATCCGCCAGTGATATGAAGATGGAAATGGACAGTCTGACTGACAATGCAAATATGTGGCTAGTGCTCATTTCAGCCAAATATGAGACCAGATTGTGAATAGTCTGGTTTAGTCTCAAGTTGTCAATTTCATCTTCATCGTTTAACTGTAATATTATTGCCTTGTTTTATTTATCCACCTTCTGTAGATTTTGTTTTCTTGAATCCTTCATCAGTAGAAAGACTTTTTCTCTCGTCTTCTGTACATTTTGAAGCGTGCTCCCTAAATCCAAAATTCATAGCACTTTCATAGAGGGCATCTGAGACTTGTGTGAATAAGGCAAACAATTAGATTGAAAATCACTGCTGAATAGCAGACTCTGAAGTAACAAATACCAGTGAAAATATTGAATTCAATGTCAAATCAGGTATAGAGAATTGAACTAGGGAAAAAGGCAGATGAGAGACTGTTATTTTCTTTTGAAAAGTATCAAGCAGTAACTGATGGTATTCTACAGTTAAGATTAATTTTTAATACCAGAGGGGTTGTTTGGTAAAAATAAGGACTTACCATGCTGTTAAGACTTTAATGTACAAGATCTGATTTTGGTTTGCATGGTGAGTCAGATGGCAAGGAACAATAGTACATTTTGAGGAGTAGGGAATCTCTGACAAGAGCTGCCTGAATTTCCATGTTTAATAGCAGAAATACATTTGCTGGAAGTTCCCACATAAATAATGATTAGGCCAGCAGTGGAGATTTTGCTGCATTGTTGATTGTTATACTAATATGCTGACTTT